CCTTTCCCCCTCCACTAACCAACCGCCCAAACATACGGACAAAATGCTATCTTCTTCTTGCAGGAAGTCTGGCTTTCTCTTCATTCAGCAGTCGACAACGCCCTTCCGGGAGATGTTATTCTACTGCGTGGGAGATTTGAAATCACAAGACCTTTGATCATCAACAAGGTTGGTTTTTTATTTTTTTATTTTTTTTTTGACAAGCTGGTTTGCTGTTTATTGCAGTTCATTGTGTTTTTCTTTTTCTTTTTCTTTCTTTCCCTGTATTTGTGTATTGGTTGATCTCCTCTCCTTCAGCATCTGATGTTCAAAGTCGTTGATTCTTCAGTCACATCAGTCAGCCAAGCAGGCTGTCCATCACTTGGGCAATCAATCAGATGGTTGGTACATCAGTTGGGGGGAAGGGCAAGCGGGGACGACTGGGCCATCAGACAGTCGATTCATCGGTCCGTTGGGCAATTGGTCCATTGGGCAATCAGACAGTTGATACAAGCTGGTTTATCGATTGAGTGATTGGAGGAGGGTAAGTGATTTAGTACAGTAGTTGGGGAATCAGACTGTCAGTCCATTTTATTTTATTTTTTAATCATCAGTAAGTTGGGGAGAGAGCTGGTTCTATCAGTTGAGTAACTGGGTGGTTAGTAACTTAGCACATTACCATCTTCCCCCAAATAGAATGTACTTTTCATTATCGCTGTATCTAGACGGAAAGTTGGCCCAATGCAGGCATAATTATTAATTACTGTATGTTCTATTGAATCTATTCGGGTGAAGATGGTAGTTGCACAAGTGGTTAGCAGGAACCCGCAGTTTTGAGCCCATAGGTTAACCCCCCAAGCACTGGAAACTTGGAAAGGGCATATTTTGGGACAATTTTTTTCAGGTTTTTTCTATGCTGTTTTTTCCGGGCGGCCGGGCACCCAACTCATGCCCGTCATCCCGCCTGGGTGCCCGGTTGGGGATGACCCCCGGGCAGGGTTCCGGGCAGCCTCAGAGCAAAAAAAAAAGAAAAAAAAAATCTGGAAAACAAAAATGTTGTGTAGAATTGCAATACATTCGACTTTTGGCTGAGGGCCACATTAGAATTCCTCACGGAATCGGAGATAAAAAAGAAAATAACAGAATCACACTAAGGCACCCCCCTTTAAACCCCATTAGCCCCTTTAAAACCAATTTATACCCCCCTCCTCCCCCCCTTGAAAGCCAACTCGCAGAAAAAGAAATGAGCCTGGATTTGGGGTCCTCTGGGAGAGTGCAGAAAACAAAATATAAAAATAAAATTATGTGTTAGTCCCCAGGTGGCCCGGCTGGGGGAAGATCGCCTGCGCACCCTCCCGGGCGGCCCGGACCGGGCAGGGCTTGCTGGCTGGGCGTGCCTGGCCGGGCGACCCCCCCTCTGTCCAACTGGCCCGGGCGTGCCTGGCCAGGCATGCTAGGCCAAGCGACGGCCCAACATAGGTTTTTTTTCTTCTTTTTTTTTGCATGCCCGGGTGCCTGGGCGGCCTGGACTGGCCGGCCCGGGCTGGACATGACAATCTTCCTAGTTTTTTTTACTTTTTTTAGGATAACCCACCAAGCCGGCCTGAGTGGACGAGGCAGATAGGCGATCATGTAGCATCCCCTTTTGGATGCTACAGTTTCTACTTGCGTATTGGGCCTACTCTCCACATGCACAAAAGATGAAAATTTTGGCAATGTATCTTTCCATGTGCTAGGGGAGGATTGGTCTCATTTTGCCCATTTGGAGAGTAGTGGAGCGAGGCCCATGGTGTCCTCTGCAAGAGTAAAACCTCACACATTGTGCCTATTTTTCTACATGAAGTGTGTGAACACTGTGAAGTGTGTTTTCCTTTTCTTTTTTTGCCCTGTTTTGTTTTTGTTCATGATTTGTGTGTGCCAAGTTCGCTGTTTGTTGGAGCCTTGGAGCTGACTGTTTTGGAGCTGGGGGAATCAGACGGTCAATCCATCAGTTAAGTTGGGGAAAGGGATGGTTCATGTATTGTGCAATCAGACACAACTACCCAGCCCATTGGGCTNGTCAATCCATCAGTTAAGTTGGGGAAAGGGATGGTTCATGTATTGTGCAATCAGACACAACTACCCAGCCCATTGGGCTTTGAATGATAGACAAGTGTAGTTGTTGATGAGCAGACCACGAGTTCGAATTCTGTCGAAATCAGATGGATACAACCAGACAGTCGATCCTTCGATTGGGTTAACCAGACCGCCAATCCATCGGTTGGGCTATCAGATAGTTGAGCCATCAGTTGGGCAATTGCATGCTTAAACCACCAGTACATGCCAGCTATCGGCCGCAGGCCCTTTTTGGAGGCTGCCCGCCGCGGATATATTTTATCTAAGGTGCGGGAGCCTCCGCAATTTTTAGGAGAGGCTCAATCGGGTTCTCGACTTGTCTGGGGGCCTGGGGCCATGTACTGGTGCTTTAATCCATCCGCTTGGCATGTGGGTGGGCAAGCTATCATTTCAGCACTCAGATAAGGCAGTCCGTCACTTGGATGATTTACACAAAGTCCATCAGTTTGGGCAATCGGGCATTCCATCAGTTCGGAATTTCGGATTTGATTAGATGATCTATGCGCTTGGGCAATCAGAAAGAAACAAAAAAAGAAGTCGTTTAAAAAGCCAAAAGAAAGAACGAAAGAAAGAACTGCACAGAGAAAGTCAAAAAGTATGGTTTCGCTGTGCCTGAAGGTAAGGGAAGGAAAGAAACAATTGCACAGGAAGAGGCAAACGAATGGTTTCAGTGTGCTTCATGTTGTCTGGTATTTTCTTCCTTTGTTTTGCGAAGTGCACTCTTATACTTCATACAGCAGCGTGTATGGAGTGTGTATTTTCTGGGTGTGACAGATCTTTCTTTGTTTCATGGGTGTTTTGCTGGCTTGTGATGGGGTGTGACCTGTAGTCTGTAGAGTTTTCCATCTGCTATGTGTGAGTGATAGTCTGCTTTGATTTTCGTCGCAGGTACCTTGAGGGCAGTGCTTGGTGCCCACCTCAAGGTATTGGTTGTTGGGCAGTCGTTAATGTGTAACCACAACCAGGGTTAAGGTGGATGATTACTTATAGTGTAATCAGTTAGGGGAATCTGGAGACTGTTGAGGGTTCAGCCTCCGAATGAGTCAGTGAATCTCCGAAGAAACAGTCTGTTACGGCCCCTCGTTTGTTGTCCCTATATACAGAGCTGCCCAGTAAACTGTAGGCACAGAGGGGGAAGAGGACAACAAACGAGGGGCTGTGACAAACTGTTTCATTAGGAGGCTATAAAAGAAGAATGAGAAAAATGAATGGTTCGAGTGTGCCCCTCACGTTGGTCTTTTTTATTTTATTTTTACCGTTTGTTTCACAAAGTGCACTCTTTTAGTTCATAGATATGGACATTGATGGAGGCCTCGTCCACCAACTTATTCTTGACATCTGTGGGCAGACATCGCAAATACGTTGTGAAGAGTACCTGCGGGTCGTAGCGCATGCCAGGTACCACGATCAGATGTTCTACGGCGTATGTGACCTCACGAACTGTTTGGTACCATTTGGAACCGAGACTAGCCACTGAGTCAGTGGCCTTCTGAGCCCCTTGACGGTCATGCCACCTATTGTACACAGTTCGTACGGAGTCTTCCAATGTCCGGGCCTGGGCCCAGGCATCGAAGTTCTGACAATAGTCCTGTTGCTGCACTAGAGCATTTAACCATCATGCTGCAGAGCCTTCCAAAAGGATGCAGCAACAATATTACTTCCTGCTCTGGCCTTGTGAGCTTGTGCCTCACATAAGAAGGCATAGTCCTCACCCAGTTGTCCAGGTCCTCTTCCTTCTTGTCGCCAGAGAAGGGTTTAGGACTCAGCAAGGGGATATTGGCATCCACTGCATGGGTTGGATTGCCCCTGGTGTCTGCTGCTGTGGTTGCGTAACCGCTGGAACAGGTTGCTGCGTGCTAACCTGAGGTGGTCCTAACGGCAGGACTGTAGTTGCCACCGTTATCGATGGTAGGGGAGAAGTCCTAAGGACCTGACCACTAACTGCTGCTAAACCACCCGAAAGAGGCATGCCAAACATAGGAGAAAAAAAAGGCCCTACCGGCGACGACGTCACCAAGGGACCCCCTGTCGGGGCAGAAACCCTGACAAGGGTATCTGCTCGTGGTTTTCAATGTCGGACACTGTTCGGCGGATGATACGGTTTCAACTTTATGAGATTGGTTCAACTGTCGGAAGTTTACCATGACCTATCTTATAGCCTTTGATCTCTGAGTCTAAACAGTTTGGTGAAGGTCTCCGCTGTCGTGCGGCCGCGCGATTTCATGGCCGTAACTGGAGAGGAAAGAGGTCGGCTGTGAAGATTTTCGCGACCAAGGGTTAGAAAAGGAGGCTAAGTTTTATTTGCTTGAGACTATTCAGGGGTCGAAGCCGGATTCGCAGCTGAAAGGGAGCCTTGCCGGGCCACCGGGCTAGGTTCCAGCCGATTGGGTGGCAGGGTGTTGGCTTTGAAAGAGGGAGGCAGGCCTGAGCCTGCCTAGGCCTAAAGTAGGTAGCCTACTGGGCTGCAACCCTTCAAATAGAAGGGTTGCGGGCATAACTCCCGTGATAGGAGCTAGCCTAGTAGGTTATAGCACATGACTCATACCCGACAAACATCGGGATCGAATCCGATATGCCGCGCCACTAGGCTAGCTCCTTTTGGAGCTGGCCTTCCTAGTTGTTGTCGGCGCGGTCGATTTTGACCATTCAATCGTGAAGATCACGCGGCCGAGATCAGCCACATAGATGAGCATGGCCCCTGCGCAAAGATGATACACATAAATCGTAAAAAAAATGAAAAATAAAAATAAAATAAAATTGTTTTTATCGAATCCATAAGGTTTTGAACTAGGGCGTGTATTTCAACAGATCGTGGGTGTTCCACGAACAACCAGGTCACCGTTGGCATAAGCCACCGACTTAAAAAAAAAAAAAAAAAAAAAAAAAAAAAAAAAAAAAAAAAAAAAAAAAAAAAAAAAAAAAAAAAAAAAAAAAAAAAGAAAAGACAAGCACAAACAAATAAAAGTTTTAATAAACAACCGACTTAAAAAAAAAAAAAAAAAAAAAAAAAAAGGAAATTTGTGAAGCGCCATATGACGCTACTTGAAGTGACTGGGGACTTGTAGTCCCCAGATCCGCTATAGGCGCCCAGAATAACGGGCAGCCGTTTCTTAGGGAAGGCAAGATGTGCCCTACGAAAACCTATCCTGTCGTAGGGGACCGTGGGATGTACAGTTGGCGCACCCGGCTAGAGCGGTGAAAGGACGACGCTACTGTGACCGGCTCGGCGGTTCGCGGGGTTATTTTGTGTCATCCCCCAGTTGTCTCTATTTTTGTTTTGTTTACTCCTGCGTGACGTGGCCGGGAGGGCTCCCACACTTTGCGAAAAAGGCGGGAGCCGATGCGCTCGACACCGCAACCGAAGGGGGAGCTACAGAGCACTGAGGCTGCCTCATCATAGGACGAGGAGCCTGCAATGCAGCCAGAATACGGTTCTGGCCAGCCACTAGTTCGACGAGTAGTTCCTGCTGAGCAACCTGCGTTTCTGCCACGCGAGCGACGCAGCTACTGAACCGCAGGATCCAATGTTGACTCATCTATTCCTTCTAATACTCCTAACTCCTGCCTCCTAGCTCCTAGTCTGACTTTTCTCATTCTAGCCCTTTCTCTTCTCTCTGCTACTTCCCTCAACTGCTGCTGCAACTCATCATGAAGAGCTTAGGATTTCATAGTCTTCTGGTGTGAGTTGTGGCTGCTGGCTGACTTGCAAGCCAACAGACTGACTCATGGGACCCTGACTGACACCTGAGGAAGAGGCCTGAGATGAGGTCTGTGACATAGTAGAGGCGGTGGCCATAGCTGCCTCGGCGCTGGCTCTAGCTTCTGCTTGTACAGCTGCTGCTAATGCCCTTTCAGCGTTGGGCACTGCTGCCCCAACCCTTTGAAATGTCATCCTCTCCCTGGCTTCCCTTTGCAGTCTCCTTTCCTCTCCCTGGCCTAATTCCAGGAAAGTGATCGGCCGACTGATTGCAGTCCTGCAAGTAACTGTAAGATCATCCACTAATCGTTCCTCCTCCTCACTGCTTTCTTCTTCACTCATGAGCTAAGGTGATGTGTGATCTGAACTAGAATACACACTGTATCCTACCTCAGCATGACACCCAACCGGGTAGTAATAAACAACAATTTTGGTCAGTCCTGGAAGAAAATAGTCAAGTGGTGACCAGCAACCAATGTCAGATTCTAAAGGTAATTCTATTTCTATTTTTAGATTATTCTAAAATGGAATGCAATGCAGCAAGGAATAGTCTATCCTATCTGCAACTGTCTGTCAGTTGTCAACCAAGTCCGTACAACTAAATACTCAAAAAAAAAAACAAATCACCTCTGGAGATGCATGTTGGATGGCAATTAATGTAATTAGTCCAGCAACAAACAGTTGCCAGAATCTTCCCTCCCCTTGTGTCCCTCTTGAGTAATCGACGTCCTGAGCAGCGTGTCTAAAGGTGTGCAATCCGGTCCACCCATGTGCCCCAAGTCTATGCTAAGCCTGCCAGCCCTGCATCTTATTTATCCTCGCATGCAGCGAGCCTTACTTCTGGTTGATCTATCTGATCAAGAGGCTGTTTAAGGACAGCCCCCACGGTCCTCAAGAATGATTTAACGTCTCAATCAGGACGACGATCACAGCCAGGGTCCAACAGGAACCCACCAGAAATATTTATAGACGGTCTAGTGAGTGTCTCTTATAGGGTTGGCATGCCCAACATGACCTCTAACAGCGCAGCAAGCAGAACCAAGGACTTGCGGCAAAGCATGCGTGTACTAGTCCCAACGGGTTGGCCTGGTAACCGTGACTCGAGTGCTTCGTCTAGGGCCCTTCAGAGGCTTTGCGCGTCTCCCACCAGCTTGCTGCCCATGAAGAATGTCGACTCTCAAGGTTGAGCGCTCGCGACACCTCACATCAAAAGGACTCTCAAGACAAAACTCACTTCCTCACAGTAAGAAGCAATGAAAAGGGTAGATAAGGATAAGAGCAACGTACCTCATAATGTTGCTCCCAACCACATATTTCTCACCAGCAACCTAACGTGCATTTATGATGACTGGTCTTTGCGTTGGCACAACAAACAGCGAAATGCAGTTCCACCTCGGCTTAAATGCCACATCAGCAAGTTCTCATCATCCAGTGTACACCCCAATCACACCTCATAGCCTTCCTGGCGCGCCCACACGACACTGGGCCGCCGCACGTTCAACGCCCAAGCATTATCACTGCCTCACTCACACGCGAAGCACCGAACAACTATTGCGAAGAACCAACAAGTGTAGTTCGAACCAACTCCGATACCAAAAATGAGCAATAGCGAGATGACAGAATCCAGATTTCACAATCACATTGAAAGCCAGAAAGTCCTACAGTGTGCAGAAAGCAGCATTGCACCAATATTACACCAATGGAGAATC